TTTATACAGTTTCAGCTTAATAAAACATTTAAACTTGGTAATAGAGAGAACCTGTACACTTTCCGGGACCTTGTTGTAATAGCGTATACATTGCCCCAAGAATGAATTACTGACTCTGTGGAGTCGAGAAACTGGTATCACTAGCTTGTGTTTGTTCCTAGTGTTTACAGAATGTATATCACTTTTTTTTTTTTTTTTTTTTTTTTTTTTTTTTTTTTTTTTTTTTAGCAGCAGCAGATGCCCTCAATATATGGAGAAGCTCTGAAGGAACTTTCCCTAAACTAACCGAATTGGCTCTTAAACACCTCTCTGTGAAAGCCAATTCCGCACCAGCCGAAATATTATTTTTGAAAGCGAGAAATATAGTCAGGAAAAAACGAAACCCTATTTTGGGACGAAGAAGAATTTTGGTGAAATGATTGTTTTTAAACTCTTTAACTGAAAATTCATGGCAATAATTTTTTTCACTTTTTTATTTACACTAGTTTAGAAAAAGGTTTGTCTTGTATTTTAGTTTTGAGACCAAAAGCTTGTCGTTTGATTATTTATAATTATATTTTTATTTTATTTTCATTCTACTTCAATGTAAATGATACTGAACATTAATGGCAATAATTATTTATAGTTTTTTTGTTTAAAATTAAACTTTAAAAAAGATTTATTATAGTTTTGAGACCAAAATGTTGTCGTTTGACTATTTAAACTTATAGTTTTATTTTATTTTCATTCTAATCCAATGTAAATGGTACTGAACATTTGTGGCATAATAATATTTAGACTTTGTTTGTTCAAACTTAGTTAAAAAAAAACTATCGTTTACTAAACTTATCGTTTCTTAATGATTTCTTATATTTACGCGAAGACTACACATTAAATGAAATTATTTTTTACGGATTTTATCGCGATTAATTTAACTTTTTAATTCCCGACGTTTTGGGTGCTTCACAGCACCTGTGGTCACGGGGGGGGGGGGCTGAGGTGTTTAACGTCCCGATGTCATAGTTAGCCTAGCTACCTTCAGTTTTTGAATATTAATTTTTTGTCCGATCTACGCAGAATGAGCTTACAGTATCTTGAAGTCTTACAGTGGTATGCTTGGGTTTGGATTTCATTTTATTAATTATAGGATGCCACGCAGACGCCAGCACCCATGCATCTTCTTTATTGAAATTAGGATGTTTTTTTAATTCCAATAGCCTCGCGAATCATCCTTGGTAGGAATCGGAGTTCTTTTGCGAGGATTTGTGGTTCAACTGTGACATAGGGACGTCAGACACCTCAGTCCCCCCTGTGACCATGCGTGCTGTAAAGCACCCGAAACGTCGGGAATTAAAAAGTTAAATTAAACGCGATAAAATCCGTAAAAATTAGTTTCATTTATCGTTTCTTTTTATTTTGGTTCTAATAAATTGTTAAATGACAATGAACATTTGTGGCAGTAATTATTTTTAGTTTTTTATTGTTTAAAGTTATAGGTTAAAAAAATGTTCTGTAGTTTAGTTTTAAAACCAGAAGATTGTCCTTCTGATTATGTTTTTTTTTTTAATATAGGATAAGGGTGACAAACGAGCATACAGTCCACCTGATGGTAAGTGGTTGCTGCGGCCCATAGACATCTACATCTATCTTCAATTACGAATCAAAATGCAGATGCGTTGTCACCCGTGAGGACTAAGATGGAGTGCCTCGTTTCCAGTAAAAAAGGTCTCCGGTTCTCTACTCTACACTCTACTACTACTACTCACCATACGAAAATACGAAACACAGCAGCGTTAAGCTGCTATTTTACTCTGGTATTCTGTGAGAGCGTGGTCCTTCCCCGGTCGAGTCGACCCATTCGTGCTACAACCATAATGTAGCTGCAGCATGGCTCTACCACGTGAGTTTTATACTTATCATTTTATTTGATTTTTATTCTGATAAATTGTTGATACTATACTCTCGTAATTTTATTAATATATAGGAAAGCAGGCATTTTTTCGAATAAACTAATTTTTTCGCAAAAATCGATTATTTTTTTTAATAAAAATCGATTTTTCCTAAATCGATTATTATCACAAAGCAAAAAATCGATTTTATAATAATCGATTTTTTTCACTCAATGTCACATCCGTACTCTGATGGAACTGAGAATGCAGTAGGTACTAGGCATGAGACCGATATATCAAAACGTAACTAATAACGTTATGTTATCAAATATCATATCATATCGATAAACCTAAGAACATATCCGTTATCACATATCCAACCAAAACCCAAAATCAACTAACCAACGTACGAAACGTAAAACGCAAACTGTAACGATATGCCAAAAACCGAAAACGGCCCTGACCACTAACTTTACCTTGTATAATATATATTATACTCGTACATATACTCGTACTAGGGATGATCGATGTTGTTGAAACATTGATGAATGACATCGATGTTGACATCAATAGCTCAACATCGATGTTCGATGTTTATCCTACTTATAAGTCATAACATCGTTGTTTCGTCATTATCGATGTTTTTGGGACATGTATTTAATAGGTTAGAATTAGATGAATAAAAAACATTGGACATTCCGCTTACGCCGTCGCCTTCGTGCGGTCGTGCACTAGCGGGGTCCACTAGCTGACCGAGCACCCGTCCCCGTACGGAAATTCCTCGGTTGGTTCAGTCTAGGTATAGAACGTCAGTCCTATCCCGTCCCGCTGCAGCTAGCACCGCCGCCCCCGTGTGGTTGCGTTAGCCGTCCACGTTTACCATCCCCGTACTGCGAGCACCTTCCCTCCCACTTCCCGCCTCCGCTAGCGCCGCCGCCCCCGTGTGGTTGTGTTAGCAGCCCGTGCTGACCGTCCACGTACGGTGAGTGCATTTTCGCTCATGCAACTCCGACACCCTCGTTCCTCTAGCACCGCCGCCCCCGTGCGGCTGTGTTAGTTAACTCACGCTCCCGTACCCGACGGTGTGTGCTCCACGCCCCCCTTCCCTAAGGGGGTCGTTACCGATGCGGCGAAGAGGCTACTCAGGCCAGAGCCAGTCCCACAGGCGGTGTTTAGTGGGCAGGCACTTCTTCAAAGTGAGGCCCACATAACCACGTAGCTGGCTGCGTGGTTATGCTATAAGCATTCACCACCTTCCTCTCCCGCTTCCGGAGGGTAGCCTTGCATTAGGCGCTAAAAAAATGAATAAAAAAATTGTCGTGTTGTTTAAGGTTTATAATTAATGAAATAACAGAAATTAATAAACAATTTAGTGTAAAACAGAATTAAAAAAAATTGGAAGCAGTTCACAAATATTTAGTTCATTTGTTATATGTATAGTCCAATATTTTTGCCGATTGATTGAAGAAATAGTAATTTTGACAAATAAGTACTTTTCAATCTGTTTCTCTGTTGATAAAATTTGAGCCAGCTATTGAAAATAATTTAAAAATAAAAAAAATTGCAGAAAATTTTTCAATGTAAATTATTAGGGATAACTTAAAAACTATTGGTCAGACTTATGTGGGTCAAATTTATATGAAATTTATAAAAAATAATCATCGAAATCGGTTCACCTACAAAACAGTTATGAGGTAACACAGGTTAAAAAAAAGAATAGTTTTCTTGACATTTGACAACATAATTGCAGGCTCAACGCCTCTTTCTATATTCAATTATAAAATATTATTAAAACATATGTCTGTTATATAAACTATATATAAAAAGTATTATAAAGTGCCAACAAACTAGTTTTTATTATAATTCATTATTTTGCAACAAGAAATAACATTTGGGTGGTCCTTTTTGAAGTCGGTAGATAACCACTCAGATGGCGTCGATGTAGTTATTGTGGTCAAATATCACACCGTAAGTTTTTTTTTTAATTTTAAAGAGGTAGAACCAATAACATTGTTCTAAACATGCATCAGATCGTGTTTAAGATCAACCATCGGATATTTTTAAAAACAACCGACAAAGAAACAGAAGACTAACAAGGACACAAAATAAAAAAAACCAAATCAGTGACAACTGCGACATTACTGTTGACACTTGACAGTTATACTTGATAGGTGTATCAAATTTAACCGTCAAGTAAACGGATAAATTACCTAAAAATATATCATAATGGAGATAATGATATATTTTTAGGTTGTCGATGCGTTCAAGCATTCTGAATTATTCAAAATTTTAAATATTTTAGAGGAGATGCCAGATTTAGTTGATATTGATTTCGCGAGTTCGCAGTTTTCGCAAGTTCTCAATAATCGATTATGGGTTTATTGACATCGATGTTCCGATGTTTGACATGTAGCAACATCGATGTTAAAACATCAATGTTTTCATTTTTGACGGCGATGATCATCGATCATCCCTAACTCGTATCTCGTAACTTCATCGTCCACCTCCAATTCTAATCACATTTTATTAAAAATGACTTTTTTGCTTTCGTGAAATTATTACCATAGTTTAAATTTGTATCCAATAAAAATAAATTTCTGTTTTAATGTGAAAGCCTGTATGAAAAATATTTTGTTATATATATTGCTGTAAGTACTGATATTTATTTATTATTCTATTTATTGCATATAATATGATAATGAGTATTAAATCATAATTATATAAAGTTCAAATGTGGTTAATAAATAAAATTACAATACTTAATGTATTTATTGTAAAATATGACAATATATACATAAATAGGATAAAACTAATATTTTTCGATTCTTAAACCGTTCGAACCGGTGTTGAGCAGCCTTTGGTACTTATCGCCTATCGTGATTCGTGATGCTGTTGCACGATTCATACATTGATATTTTTATAAATATCTAACCTTCATTAATTTGCATTATATTAATTAAAGCGATGTTATAATTTGAGTAAACAACATCTACATGTATGTTGCATATATTTTTTTATTTGTTGTATGTGTTGTGTTGGTGTCTGCACATATGTTGTTATCAAACTGAAGTGGGATACTCAAATAATTTTTGTTTCAGGTTTAAGTGAAATTAGATAAAAGCTGATTTAAACATGAGCTATTTAAATGTTTTGAAACAGTCCACTGTTGTTCATTTGTGTTTTGCTATATCATACTTTACATCAGGCCTAATACTAAATTTTGTACAAGCCATATTTTATTTTGGCTTGAGGCCCTACAACAAGACATTGTACAGGAAAATAAATTATTATCTTTCATATTCATTTTATAGCCGTAAGTAAATATACTTATTTGTTATTATATATATAATTATCATACTTAAAAATACATCTAAGATATCTCCTCTGTTTCAATGTTGATTAAAAATTATGATTTACTATTTTTAAGAGTCACTAAATGTTTAATTTTTTACAGAGTTAGTTTTCATGTCTGAATGGTGGTCGGGAACTACAGTATCCATATATATCAAAAGAGATGAATATAATAAGTACTATGGAAAAGAACATGGATACCTTATTATGAACCACAGTTATGAGATAGATTGGCTTATGGGTTGGCAGTTCTGTGATGGAATTGGTGTCTTAGGTGTAAGTAATAATGTTCATTATTTAATTGTTTTTTTTTCTGTATCATGGTGGTGTAAGAAAACTCAGAAGCAGTTTATAAATGGTAACCATGCAGTGGGAAGGAGAGGAGTACCACCTGTGTAGAAAAGTATTGAGAAGCATAGTTTTAAGAAAAAGTTATTACTTGAGTCTGTTTACAAAAAATTACAAATCAAAGCAGACATTGCAAAGGGCAGGGGTAAGAGTAAAAGGAGAAGGGAAGATACCTCTGAGGAGAAATTAAAGCATAAAAAAACCTAATTTCTAAGAATTTTGAAATATACTTAAGATTTGGTCACCAAAATTTCCAAATTAAAAGCAGAAGGGTTATCTCAATTATGGGTAGCAGATGGACCAGAACTACTTTGGAATTTCAGAAAGTGCAGCCTTTCTACCCTTGTGTAACAAAGAACAGGCATTTGTGCTCCTCTCTGCACTTTGTTACAGCTAGCCTCCATCAATGCCTCAGGCTTTACCAAAACACTTGGGGTGGTAGCAACAAAACTATGTGAAATTGGGGTTGGTTGATTTGGTTTTGTGACAGTTTTTGAACCTACTAATATGATAGGGAATTCATAAAATGGAAATAATTTCATATAAGTTCCTATAACACATCAATACATCTATAATGTGAACAAAAATTTCGGAAATTGTTGTTTCGTCACTTGTTTATTGTAAAAATTATATTGATCCTTTAAGATATAAAATTAAGCTTAAACTCTTCCATATTAAAAGTGAAACTACTTTAAAAAAAATAATATTACTCCATTTTTTTATATCTTTTTTTATTTTAGTAGCAAAACAACATCATTGCTTTTATTTTGATGATATGTTTATTTTCTGTTATTGATGCTAATATTTTTCTAATTTAATTTAATAAACTACTTTGTTATGGCATTATTCGATGTTTGTAATGAAATTATTTAAAACATTTATTTGCAAATTTGACTTATTTAAATTCATGATATGAAAGTTTTTGCTTAACACTTGTCATTGCATTTAATTACGATTTTTTTCTAGGTCACTTTTCCATCTATTTGCAAAAAGTAAACTCAATTTAAAATGGAAATTCAAAGTAATTCATTAATAATGAGCAATTCTGTCTTTATAGAATGCATTAGCTATATCCGATATAACGGGCCGATTATTATGTATATATCTCGATGTTCTTGTTTTGCCACTAGGGTGGCGTCACTTAGGAACGAGGTGAAATATTTGACAAATAATATAGCGGGGAAGTTAATTTGTTAAGAAAATGTAAGGGTAATGTTTCATTTTGTAATATCAGTTAACATCACTACATCCCTTCACAAGTCCACTGCTGAACATAGGCCTCCCCCAAGGAATGCCACAAAGTACAGTTCTAAGCCACCTGCATTCGTGCATGAATGAAGGTAGAATCTTATCACTAATGGAGTGATGACCTGGTAAGACATGTTTTACCGGGTTATCACTTCATCTAGTTGGTGGTTGCCCTACACTTGCCTACCAGTATGAGGTTGCCACTCAAGAAACTTTCTTCCTCATAGGTTCTCAGTTCAATAATTAATATTAGTTAATACACACTCATGTGTAAATACCCCTGCAATAAGTTGTGATAGTATGAATTACGGACTTCTCGCAAGATACTTATTGCAGAGAAAAATAGCAAAAATTTATATGATATGTAAACAGTATTGAAAGAAACTTTAGCAAGAAACACAGCCTTAGAGTAATAATTTACAAAATATGTATATATACATAAATATATTTTGCTTTTTGTAATATAATTTTCAAGCAAGGAAAAACAAGATACCGTGTACATATTATGTACATGTTATCATATAAAAGCACTTATTCGCTAGCCATTTTCTTAACTTAATTTTAAAATATTTAAGTGGAAGTCCCTTAGACTCTAAGGAAGTTTATTAAAGACTGATATGCACATGTGATAAACATTCTTTTTATTTAAAGTTGTTCTATGAAATGGAATGAGTAGGATCTGTTGGACTGTATTTAGTAACATGATCCCCCTTGAATTTAAAAAAAAATTGTTATACTTCCTAACAAAGACTGATACTTCAAGAACATACATGCAAGCCAATGTCGGTAAATTAAGTTTTTTAAATAGAGGTTCACAGGAGTCTAGTGGATTTACTGTACAAATAGCTCGTAAACATTTATTTTGTGCAATGAAAATTAGTGCTTGACCAACTCCCATCATATCAGTCGAATTCCCTCATATTATTCACCCATATCTAAGGATTGACTATACATAGCCTTTTATACTATACAAGCAGTCTTTTCATCTGGCAGTCTGCAGTCTGTTCATTTCCTAAGGGTATAGGCAAATCTGCCTAGTTTGAGGCAAACATAATTTATATGTTTCTAGATACAAAATCTATCCAGATTTATACCCAAGAATTTTATGCTCTCTGCTTCTTCTATACTGTCATTTTCTATGTTTATGTTAATGTTGTTATGAATATTTACTTTTATTCCTACCAAATTTTATGAATTTTGTTTTTCGCACATTTAGATTTAATTTGTTTGCTTTTTACCATCTTGATAACGATTGTTACACTTTACGTATTTTAATTTCGTGAGATGTGTCTTTATCCTTATATCGCACTATAATAATAGATATGTCGTCTGCGAATAGAACACTGACAATTTATGGCATTGGTAAGTCATTAATGTACGCTAAGAATAACAATGGGCCTAAAACGCTTCCTAGTGGAACTCCATATTTATTGACCCTGGATGGAGATCTGTGTACACTGCATTCACGACTATCATTTAAACTAGTGATTTCAACATATTGCTTACGATTAGTTAGAATTTTTTTATCCAGCCTAAAGTTACACATCTAATGCTATATTTTTCGCATTTGGTGAGCAAGATCTCATGATCTACAAAATCAAAAGCCTTACAAAGAATGAAAAAAGAATGGCTACCACCGGATTTTTTTCATCTATATATCAAGTTATATTTTTATTAAGAGAGAATGCTGCTAAAGAATGCTAAAGAAAGAATTTTTATTAAGAGAGAATGCTGCTGAAAAGAAGAATTGATTTATTGTGTTGAAACTATTCTGTTCTTCTTTAATATTATGTTTATTTAGAAATTAAAAACCCTTTCTATTTTTTTTAATATTATAGGTACAAGGGTAATAGGACCATAGTTATTAGGTTCCTTTCTATCAACTTTCTTATACAATGGCTTAACAATAGAGTGCTTTAATTTAGAGATAGCTAAGTCCAGATGGATACGGATCCGCAGACCCGCATGCTTGGCGTCAATGATGGAAGTACATCCAACCGCAATTCGTATGCTGATCCGACAGTACCATCCACTTTAACTCATGAGTTGCAGGTTCGAATCCCGGTTCGGCCCAAAACGTGTTTTTCTGTCAAGATATTATCAATAGCAGCCCGGACTCAAGAAGTGGGCAGTGTTTTATCCCCGTGCCTCTAAAAGCACGTAAAACCATTATATTTATCTTAAACCAGTAAAAATACAACTTTAGGTATTCTTTAAAACCCTCCACTGATATACCTACAATATCGCGACGAATGTAAAGTGAAATTACAGTACTCTTAATTCAAAACTCAAAACTTAATTAAAATATTGATGCAGCTGCTATAAAAACGTCGTTCTACCACGTAAAAAATTCATTTAATTAGTTTTTATTTTTGTGAATTTTTGACCCACGAGCGCGAACTTTATGAAGTAGTCGAATTTCGGACAATTAATGTTTTGCTTCACAGCACACAAACTGAGTTCACCACATAACCGAGTCTGCTATAATAACATCAGGTTGTTGGTTAAATTAATGTTTTTAAATGACTTCAGATAAAATCTTATCATTATGGTATTTGTTGGGTGGTGGGTGTTGAATTTCATATTTCACGTGATCAGAGTATATAAGGGCCTCTTTTTTTCTAAGAAGGTATTTGGGCAAGGGATTGTTCACTGCGCTGCACCAAGGCGTGTTGGCGGACTTCACATGTTTTTATTTATTTATCAGACATGCACGTTTACTCACGATTATTGATTTTCCTTTACCGTCGAGCACGTGTTAAGTGAGCACTTGATGCCGGCAGGAATCAAACCTGGGACTGTGAAATTTGCAGCGAGCGTTAAGCCTCTGAACAACCACGGATCTATTATTATTATATATGAATTCATTACAGTCTATGAAAATCAACTACTGAATAAAGGATTCTCTATAGATTGCTAAGAGAGGTATATGCCATAGTTGGTGAGTAGGTTGACTACCGCAGTTTTCCGGGGTTCCGTACCTGTGCCGGACGGGTGAAACTCAGGATTAAATGTTGTTGAAAATACTCCGCAAGTCGCTCACATCCTACACCTATAGGTTTCGGTGGATACTTTTACTGCCGTCTTTGTAGTTGCGGCTGGGGTACTGTGGACTGATGTCCAATCAAAATGCACGAACTAGAATACAAATGGCAGGGCAGTGGCCAGCGGTTTGACTGCTCAACTGTTCGGCGGAAATCATCTGACTATTGATTGTCAACCACAGTTGTTGAATACAGTTGGTCAACAACGATTGTTCACTATCGGTTGGTCACTATATTCTTCTGATGATTTCTTCAGTTGACTATTTCTTCAAAATGTTCGGTAGTAATTTACTACTACTAGTACTATCTTCTTCTATTATCACTGTTTATTATGTTGTACTATACTACTACCAGTGCGAGTGGTCGTTACAAAACGTAACCAGTTATTAAAACTATCTATTCATACAATAGCGGGTAGCGGCTTATTGCAGTCCAACGAAACTATCTATCACAGAAGACGTTTTACTCAGTAACATGACTCACGTTTCCCGTACAAGCGATCAGAACGAATCGTTTATTCGGCTATTTTCGCGACGCATCGGCAATGGCTTTGGCTGTTTTCTTACGTGGTAGAGCCATGCTGCAGCTATATTAGTAGTATAGTTGTAGCACGAATGGGTACCGGTTCGACCGGGGAAGTACCACGCTCTCACAAAATACCAGTGTAAAATAGCAGCTTAACGCTGTTGTGTTTCATATGGTGAGTGTAGAGAACCGGAGACTTTTTTACTGGAAATGAAGCACTCCATCTTAGTCCTCACGGGTGACAACGCATCTGCATTTTGATTTTGTAATCGAGGATAGAATGTAGATATCTATAGGCCGCAGAAACCACTTACCATCTTCTGGTTTGGTTTTCTCTGTCGCCCTTACGACGCCCACGGGACACCTATACTGCCACTATATGGTCAAAATATAAGTTAGAAGTACGGCCGTGTTGTAAAAAAAATATTCGAGTTTAAATGTTCAAAAAACAATCCTATGTTGCAGTATTGTTTTAGCAAAGGCCAATTACCGCGTTATGTTTAGGAATATTCCGAAATTAAGACTTATTTTTTTAACCGACTTGATAAAAAGAGGAGGTTCTCAAGTTGAGTGCTTTTTTCTTAATGTATGTTCGGGCATAACTCCGTCATATATAGATAGATTTGCAAAATTATTTTTTTGTTCGAAAGAGGTTTATTTCGAAATGGTCCCATTTAAATTTAAGATCTGATGATGCGTTTCGGAGAGAGACAACAGGACTCTTCAATAAATGCCAGCAAATCAACCGCGATTGCTGCTATCGCATATCTATACATTGTTTACGCAATCACACAACATAACATCACTCCTGTACCCTATAAAGGGGTACGCAGATGTGTTCAGTATACCACGGTACACTCTCATTTCTGTCAAAGTTGTTATTTCGAAGTCGGTTGTACAAAATTTTTAATTTTACTACTTGTCACAATAGTCATATCATGGATTATATATTTGTATAATTTTCATAACATTAATATTCTTTGTTTTAGAACTGCAAGGCCTACGCGAAAAAAGCTATCCAGTACATGCCGCCAATCGGTTGGATGTGGAAATTTTCAGAGTTTGTGTTTTTGGAGAGATCATTCGAGAAAGATAAGGAAATAATAAAGAAACAAATAACAGAACTTTGCGACTATCCGGATCCAGTATGGGTGAGTACTCAAAATGCTTGCGTATCAACAAGAGTGTGATACGATATTACAATCAGTGATAACGAAAATGTAATTGATTTAATACATAATAATAATAAAACACCTTATTTGATATACTTACTTGTATGACAATTCAGTGTATTTATCCAACTGTCGTATTTGTATTACATTATTATGTATAAAAAGTTTGTTTTATATTTATATGAATTTATTTTAAATACATATACAATCATTTGCAAAAACAAAACCGGGCGGTTTTGATTTTTTCCTGCCTGAAAAATATACATTACAAAAAATATTTTAATTATTTGAATATGTTACTGGCCGGTTATAAAATTGCCGAGGAAATTAAAAAAAGTTTAAACATTCCAAATTGAAATTCTGTCTGATGTTGGTTTTAAAAAAATACAACTTTTTACCACATTTTTCGGCGCAAAAATCCCGAAAATTATAGATACAGTGATAAAATATAGTAAAAAATAATAAAAAAGCCAGCAAAATTGTTGCCCTGCATGAGGAGGGTGGCTGAGCCACGAAGCATTAGCTGCAGCCAATGATTCGTGGCTCAGAGGCTAATTGTAAGTCGTTCGATAGTCCAAAGGACCTGGCAGCGCTATCAGGAGACCGGTTCCGTCAAGAGAAGGCTTGGTTTCGCGTGAAATGGATACCCCCTTCGGAACGCGCATCAAATTTTTCTTTGGAACGCTCAAACGTGGAGCGGGCCGTTCCGTCTGATGTCGGTTTTTTACCGCGTATCAAAGTAGTTAAGTTATGGCGCGCGCGCCGTTTGGGACGGTTTTTTCATCATTCATGTGTTCGTTGCGTTCTGGGCTATGGGTAGCCAAAGTTGCCGTAAATTGATAAAATTATATGATTCAAAAAATTTTAATCTCGCTCGAAATTGGACTCATGGACTCAAAAAGACTGGTCTAGGGTGTTGTTCTCCGATGAAACCAAGATATCCCTGTACGGTGAAGACCAACATCGTCGAGTTCTACGAAAACGAGGAGAACGCTTTGCAGAGGCATGTTTTGAAGAAATCACACCTTATGGTGGGAGCTCTGTTATGTTTTGGGCAGAAATGTAAGTTCGTTTGATCGTACGGATCGAAAACGGCACACTGACTGGACACCGATACATAACGGAAGTTCTAATTCCTCACGCACAACCCGTATTGGCTTTTGGTGAAAACTCAATTTTTATGGACGACAACGCTCGCGCCCAACGGTCTGACGATGTGTAAGCTTATATGCTAGAAGTCTAAATTCGTTGTTTGGATTGGCCAGCTCGAAATCCCGAGATAAATCCCATAGAACATATCTGGGACGTCCTGTAGTGACAAGTAATCTCACTGCAGCCGGCTCCGCAGACCATCAAAGACCTAAATAATGTAATTACGGTGTAGTAGAAAAGTATTTCGCAAGAAACCATAAGAGATACTCACTTGCATGCTCAGACGAATTGCAAGCTGTGATATCAGTAAGATTGGGTCACACTCCATAATTATGAACTAACTCTTATCTGCTTTTACCAAACTGAACTAAACTCTATCTGCTTTTACAATATTAAAGAAAAAACAAACAAAAAATCTTGTTTAATTTTTACTTAGCTAGCAGGTACACTATTAGTGCGTTGAACGTTAACATTATTTATCATAATTTAATCAAAATGTTATGATAGAACCATCGATCACATTAGTGATCGATGGATAGAACTGACGAAAACTATTCCTTGCTAAATAATTACAAAATTCTGAGTATAATCCAAAATTATCAAAAATCTAATAGTACCAAAAAAAAAATAGTTGTTTGCTTAGATGCCCGTTTTTTTTTACAAAAGAGTTCATTAATTATCTAAATCTATACAAAATTGAAGTGTCTGTTTGTAATGTCAAAATAACAGCTTTTTACTATATACAGAAAGTATATACGGTACTTATACATAACAAAAACACATTTTTTATTTTTGTCTGTCTGTCTGTCTGTTTGTTTGTTCCGGCCAATCTCCGAAACGGCTGATGTTATAGGAGTAACTTAGACTACTTTTATTTTAGAAAAAGAATTATTGTGCTGCGCAAAAAAATACCCATGAAATCCAGTCGTTATAAATTACACGCGGGCGAAGTCGCGGAGAACAGCTAGTTTATAAATAAGATGATTTGTCGAAGTTATGAGTTATGAAACTGACAGTTTTCTGATACTGGTCAATTTGAAATTAGAAAATCCAAATCCACACTGTCACATTCTATAGACTTTATAATAAGAAATTAGTTCATTTATGTAAATGACCTGACCTGAACTGAACAGATCCGTAGACCCTTTTTACTGGTTACGAGGCATTTCTTCTAAGTCCTCAGGGGTGATAACGCATCTGCATTTTGATTCTTAATTGAAGATAGATGTTTACAGCATCCACTTACTATTAAGTGGTCTGTGTGATCGCTTGTCACACTTATTCCATAAAAATAAAAACCTTCGTTTTGTCACGAGCGCTACGCGCAATCCACGGTGTGGTTTTGGTTCATCGCTTCCGGTCTGGAAATTTCGACCTCAATAACGAATTCCACCCTGAACCGGATTTTCACTTATTTTGAAAAGTAGATACTGTCAGATCTCTCTGATCAGAAATGAGACATTAAACGCAAAGGTTGGACCTTGAGGGGCAGATTCTTTTGTGTTAAATTCTGCTTGTATGTTATTGTATTTACATATAAATATATAATTTAAATAAATCACAGAATTATACTAAGTAATAAAAGTTTTCATTACTGTTTTTAGCTATTGATGACACCGGAAGGAACCCGTTATACGGCTACAAAACACGAGGCGTCCGTTAAGTTTGCGAAAGAGAAAAATTTACCGATACTCAAACACCACCTTACTCCTCGTACTAGGGGCTTCACCACAAGTTTGCAGTACTTTAGAGGCAAAATACCGGCCATTTATAACGTCCAGCTGGCCTTTGAACGAGATAGTAAGGTAGGTTATTGTTTTTTTTTTCTTCGTGTGATTTATTATCTTTTTGTTATGACTAGGACTATGCATTACAATAATAATTTGTCTTGTACACGTCTGGTATGAGTTAATTTATCCGACAAGAATATATTTTATCGCTCACTGTACGTGTTTACATAATAATTGAATATTATCCCCACTTTTCTTTAGTATTATTTAACACTGTTTTTCACTGTCTGGTTTCCAGACAAAATATTAGCTATTAACCATATGTGGGTCACGGGCTCCCACATTGCGATAGTGATTCAAGCCGAGATTCCTACCTCCTGAGAGGGGTACCCTTGAATCAAGCATTTGAAGGACAAGGTCCTTCATAGCTGGCCTTATGATGAAGCTCAAGGTCGCTCAGTGAGCTATGGAGAGGGCTATGATTGGAGTTTCTCTGCGTGATAGACTTCGTATTACCCGAGTAACCACATAGTCCAACGAATTTAGTAAGTGGCAATGGGCCGGCCATATAGCTCGAAGAACCCAATCATAAATAAATTGTCGATGGGGAATGAAGGTTCTAAAGTGGCAACGTTGTACCAGTAAGTGAAGTGGAGGGCGGCCCACACTACGTGGAGTGACGACCTGGTAAGAGATGCAGTGAGTCGATTAATGCAGGTGGTTTGGGACCGTGCTTTATGGCATAACTTGGGTGAGACCTATGTTGAGCTGTGAACTTGTGATGGGCTGTAATGATGATGACTATGATTTGTGTCAACTGTTGAATATTGAGCAATACACGATCTATGCGATATATTATTCTATAGATCTGTTCTATAGACTGTTAATACAAATATGTATCTTTATAATGCTACTGTTCATTGCGGATTATAATGTTATGCAGTTATTCACTACAAGTAGGACTTAATTTAATAACGATGGTCTATAAAATTATGTACTTGAGTACTTGAGAGCCCGAGCGGGTCGACCAGTCTGGTGGTAATTAAAATAATAATAGTGGTATGAGATTGACTAACGTATTTATTGGTATTTGAACATAGAGTTAATTATAAAATACTAACTTTAATGCTGGACACAATAAACCGACATCACAAATTAGAGCAACCAAAAAGTTTAGAACACCAAAGAGTGAAGGGCGGGAAGCCATAAGCAATTCTATTGTTCTTTTTGAAATACTATATTATACATAACTATATTATACGATAACTATATACTCGACTTTCTTATTTACGGTTTCCGTCTACTCAACTGAATATGGACCCCATTGAAGCTATTAAAGTTAACGTGGTTTAGGCATTTTGTCATTTAAAAGTTTACAAGTTTGTATTGGAAGGACCAATCTCTCCCAGATTATCTGCAACTTCCTGCATATCTTATTAGGAAGCATCGCTAGGTAATCCAAATTTATCATTGAAAAAACGAGGAGATTAATTTTGTTGTTAGGTAAAATATCGATAAAAGTGCACAGGCTACGGTGAGAGACGAGTGTCGGTAATACGACGCGCAGCAATCTCTAACCTTCGTGGCCTAAACTTTGTCAGCGGTAATGACCCCATGACCTTTGCGTGCGGATTTTTGTCTCAAGATTCAGCGTTCCTTGCTACTAGGAAATAAGATTTAGACAAATTTGCCCAACCGAATCACTAAATTTAGAGAAATATGATAGTCTCTATAATTGAAATGATTGTTAATAAGGATCAGGTGTGGCTAAGAAACACTCATTTTTTTTATAAAATAAAGGGATTTCCCAGCTTTTATTCTATGTGTATAATGCATTATTAAATAATTTATATTAAAACGCATTATATTGAGAAATCTAATTTAGTTTTTCTTTTTTTTTTAAAACGGTTATATGGACGTATTATGAACCTGCCTCGGCGCCGCGCCGCGGCTCAACGCTTAGTCATTACGAAACCGAGCCGTCAATGCAGTTTACACCGATAATATTGTCATTTGCAGACTCCACCAACATTACTGAGCCTACTGTACGGTAAACCGGTTCACGCTCATATGTACCTTGAGCGGATACCTGTGGAAAACGTGCCTACCAATGAAGCTGAAGCGGCGAAGTGGCTTCATGATCTATTCGTAGTTAAGGTACGTATCAAAAGGTCCATACATACAATGCAATACGAATTTTATTATGGCAAATGTGCTTGTTTTGTCTTCTCTATCGACACTCATTGACAATTAGCTAATGTGCGGAATTGTGGCGGGAGAATCGATCATTTCAATGTATTTGGTTGATATTATGCATACACTAACTATCGAGGAAGTGTTTGAGTCTATGAAGTAAAAATACGAAATAAAGACAATAATCTCACGTTTATAATATATTATGTCACGAGTAATTCACGTGACATATTATATGATTAGAATAGGAATGTTCATAGGTAATGTATTGTAATGAAGATCTCATTATGGAGACATACATATATCAATATTGCTGACCGGATACGATGTGGCTTGATTAATAATAATCTCGCCGAATAATTGCGTTTCTGACGATAGTGTTGCGATAATCATATCTTAAAGATTATTGATTAACAAATGTAAATTGTTTTTTGCGTTGCATCATTCTGTTGTTAATATTGCCCTATTTTCAATATTTATAATCTTCAATTTCAACTACTTGCTGTCTGTTACTCATATACGATAAAAAAAAGGTTAACCAGGTTCAAGAATGCTGCAGCCGTAGATATAGTTTTTTTGACAATACCTAAGTTCTATAATACTTTATCATAGTGTTTTGTCATGTCTGCATATATTCCCAATACATATTTCTGGAACAAAGTTCCTTATCGCACGGTATATATTTGGCGGATCGGGACTAGGTAAGAAAAAGTGTAAGATTTCTTCTGTGACGACGCCCTTTCTATAGTGCGAGCGAGATGGAATAATATCCATCTTCCTCGCACTTTTTCTTATCTTGCCATGAAAGAAATATTTTAAATGACGCTTCATTTTAATAGACGCTAGTAATTCATTTGTTAATCAATAATATAATAAGTTTATCAATAATAATAGTCTACGAATTGAACTTCGTTCCAACCGAGTGTTCCACGACACTCACGCATGATTTTTTTTCATTAATGATAAAAATACGATCTACGAGAGGAGGTCAAAAAGTTCGCGGAATGACTGGGAAGGATAATGAAATGAGACATTAAACTATTTTTCCTTTTCAATGTACTATCCCTTAACCCTAATACATTTATTAGATCTGTCAAATAACTTATAAAACCGTCTATAAAAAAAGTTTGGTCTTGGCCGTCAAAATAGGCCGAAATTGCCGACTTCATTCATCTTTGTCGCCAAGTTAATTCCCACGCAGTTCTTTCTTCATTTTTGGAAACAATTAATAGTCGCTTGTGGCCAGGTCTGGGTTGTAGGGTGGGTGGCGTAGTTGTTCAAAACCGCACCGCTGAAAGGTAGCAGTCACAACATGGCGTGTGTGCACGGACGCATTGTCGTGCAAAAAGAGCACGCCTTTAGTAAGCTTTCCTCGCCTTTTTTCTTTAACAGCTTCTTTTAATTGATTTGGTAAAGAAGCGTAGTATTCTCCCGTTATGGAAAAATCACGTTCCTTATAATCAATTAAAAGGATACCTTCTGTATTCCAAAAGATCGTCGCCATAATCTTTCTGGCCGATTGAGACACAAACTTCCATAACTTTTGACGCGCTCGTGTTTTAGATGCGCAGAAAGCATTCTCGAAACCCATCTTGCACATACTTTAGTCATGCCAAGCTGTTGATGTAGGATATTTAAAATGGTTGTTTCTGATACTCCAACTAATGCTGCAAGCTGTTGTTTTCTTTCTGGCCGATTGAGACACAAACTTCCATAACTTTTGACGCGCTCGTGTTTTAGATGCGCAGAAAGCATTCTCGAAACCCATCTTGCACATACTTTAGTCATGCCAAGCTGTTGATGTAGGATATTTAAAATGGTTGTTTCTGATACTCCAACTAATGCTGCAAGCTGTTGTTTCTTTAGCCGCGCATCTTCCGATGCAAGTTTTTCAACTTCTCGATTATTTCTGGAGTGGTAGCCTCAATCGGCCGGCCAGGTCGGGGGTCGTCTTCAATGGAGTCCCTTCCTTGTTTGAAAAGGCGTGCTATTTAAAAATCAATGTTTTCCCAAGAGCGGAGTCCCCATAAATAGCTGACATCTTTTGAAAAATGGTTTGAGGTGTTTTTCCTTGTTTGGTGAGAAACTTAATGACGGCGCGATATTCAATTTTCTCCATAGTGGCTAGTTTCTTCCCGATTGACTTGTTTACTCGTTGATAACTCAAAAGCTAATGACCCGATTAGGCTGAAACTTGGTATATATACTAACAATGAGTCACTGAACTAGCACCCACCTGGATGAGTAAACTCATCCTCGCCAACCCCGCCATTCCGTGAACTTCTTGACCTCCCCTCGTATGCTAGTATGATCAACCGATCCTCACGAATATCTTGTCGGTTACGGTAAATCCTACTATGTACTCGGTGGTTTACCGTGTGTGGCGGTGTAAGAATATCCACTACCCCATATCGTATGAGGGTCGTCGTAGGAGGCGACATTGGGAAACTGAAATAGGAGTTAGGCAACAGCATTTTCCTGCGTGCGAGCTTGTATGTGTAGTTTTATTTCCATTCTTCAATAACGATTTAACAACATTGATAGGTTATTCTTGTACTATTACGTCATATCATTGTTCTAATATCAGATGTACGGCGAAGTCAACTTATAGCCCATCAGCATTATGCCTATAATAGCGTGAAGTTATTATTGCGACATGTACTCGTAGTAGCGAGTAACAGAATTTGTTTGTCGATCTTCGGATCTTTTCTGCCGACTTCCAAAAAGGAGACAGTACTCAATTAGACCGTGTTTTTTTATGTGTTTTTTTTTTAATATAGGATAGGGTGACAAACGAGCACACAGTCCACCTGATGGTAAGTGGTTGCTGTGGCCCATAGACATCTACATCTATCTTCGATTACGAATCAAAATGCAGATGCGTTGTCATCCGTGAGGGCTAAGATGGAATGCCTCGTTTCCAGTAAAAAGGGTCTCCGGTTCTCTACACTCACCATACGAAACACAGCAGCGTTAAGCTGCTATTTTACGCTGGTATTCTGTGAGAGCGTGTACCTTCCCCGGTCGAGCCGACCCATTCGTGCTACAACCAATAATATAGCTGCAGCATGGCTCTACCACGTTTGTATTACCTCATAACTTTTTACTGGGTGAATTGATTTCGATGATTCTTTTTTATTTGAAAGCTGATACTTCTCGTGCGGTCTCATATGTATTTGATCAAGGTCAGACCAATAGTTATTGAGTTATTCTTAATAACTTATATTGAAGTCGGCTGTACAAAATTTTTAATTTTTAATTATTGGATCAAGACATAATGATTACTATTTGTACAATGTTATGGTGCGTTTTCAAACTGATCTCGGTATAACTGCCACATCTCACGTTAAATAGCTTAATTTGCTGGATTTTTTTAGATTATTAGAAATGTGATTTCTGTTTAATAACACCTTATGGTTCGTACTCAAACTGATGGCGAGTAACATAATATAGCGTTTCTATGTTATTTCATAATAGCCAATCACGACAATTATTGAAGTGTTACAGGTGCACATTTCTGTCCTTGTTAATTTGTGAGATCGGCAACACTAGTAGTTGAGATACTTATATCATTTTTTAAGTTACCGAAGGATAATGAAAGGTGAATATATTTATTTTTTTGTTAGATAGGTACTTACAGCGAACAAATAATTAAGTAATAATTTAACTACAGAAATAATACCTAAATACTTAATTACAAAACTTAGTTGAAATTTACTTCACTACCTATCCAGGTACTTACTTACATACCTATACAGGTCTTTTGTAATTAAAATATTTTAAGTTTTAACAACACAAAATACTGAAATTAAAACTTTCTTTAGAAGATTTTTAACTAAGTAGAATACGATCACATTTCTGTTAGGAATCGTATTTCGTATTGATTTGTTGTTTACACTATTTCTTCCGAGCCAAACATCGCGATTCCCGACGAATGGCCTTGCAAGTTGTATGCGTTGGGCATCACAGAACTCACATAGTAGCGAAAATATGGTCAGTCGATCATAGTCAGAATAGGTACTTTACCTAACTTGCTTACCATTTTGCAATGTATTTTTTTACTCTTTATTGACAGCCCTTAGTAACCACGGAAAGTCCAAGTAGCAAAGTTTCATGTGCAGCGATAAAGTTTTATTTAGCTTGCGTGCGCGATTTATGTGATTAATAATAATTATGTAGGCTATTAAAACGTTGGCAAGAAGTCAATATCAATGGAGTCCAAGTTCTGTACGTAGTACTATTATTTATTCTGTGCTGCCGATCAGAACAAAAACAGATGTATTCTCCGGTCTCCACAGACTACCCGATCGCCGCTGCACGCTATTACAAGTATAAGCATTGGAGAAATGTAGAACATTCTACGTCAATCCGGTTCATTTAAATATTCCTCCCTTTCAGTTAGAAAATCGGGTCGATCATTTAAACGGATTATGTCGGATTTCATTATCAAGGTTGCGACAATATATCGGCCGACCGATAATATCGGTTATAAGCTAAAATACCTATATTTTGTATCGATATACACATAGCCGATAAGATATTACCGACATTGCCAATACTATTAACTCGGAGGTGACAATGCATCTGTAGCCTGTTTTGTTTGAAATTGAATGTATCAATATGTTGGTATTCATGAACTACAGTAGCGGTGTAATTAGAGGATATTTTACCTTACTGTTTACCTACCTACTGCAGCGCTGTAGTATATTAAAGTATGAAGTTAAAATAAGGCAAAAGAATAACATTTACATAAATATTTTTATTAATATACTAACAAGTTTTTTTTTTGTTTTACCTTAAGCGTGGACACTTAGATCGGGTTCTTGGCCTGGGGCAGTTCCTGCATATAACGTGTTTCGTCTAGCTAATCATTTCATTATCCTTCGGTAACTTAAAAAAATTATATATCTGAATTCTTTTGTTTGCTCATTAAGCATCCATCCACGCAACATAGGAACGACGTTTTGCAATTATAATTATTTTATCAAATAGACAGGTAATATACATATGCATTATTTTTAAATTACATTAAAAGTTTTTCAACTATTTAATTCTATAATTAAATATACTAAACACTAAACAAAAACTATTTCAACAAGTATTTACAAAAAACTATTTACGTAAGCAGCGTTAAAAATCTTTAACTATTTCACGCAGGTAGCAAGAGTGACAGAGGCCTGACAATAGTCCAATATGAAACTTTTTCCCCTATTTTCCACCCTAGGGGGCGGAATTTTTTCTTTAAAATTGAATGAAAGATTAGTTGAAATCGGTTCACAATCTGCGAAGATATCGCGTGACATACATAAAGGATAAACATACACTTGAATTGGAAACCTCCTCCTTTTTGAAGTCGGTGAATAAAATTATATACACGTTGTTAAATGCGTGTTAGACTTCTGCATAATGCGCTTGTTTACGAAACATATTTTTTTTCACTGACGATGTTTGTTTATTTCACGCTCGAAATTAACATTATTAAATAATTTAATATTTCTTTCAGGATAAAATGCAGGAATCATTCTTAAACACAGGTGACTTCTTTTTGGAGTCCGGTGTTGAAAAAGTAGACTGCCTCCAAGTGCCGCCTCGTGTGTACTCGCTTATAAACACCCTGGGATGGGCGATCATAACCTTAACTCCTATGCTGTACTACTTAGTGGGTTTGCTCTTTAGCGGAAAACTTCTGTATTTGTCTATAGGCGGCGCCATCCTTGCTGCATGTATGTATTTTTTTATTTCATTGAAAAAGTAACAGATTTTACATGTTTTACTATTGGGCACATGCCTTCTCATACTTCAGAGAGAGAGAGAGAGAGTTATTACGTAATTATGTTTTTATTGTAATGGGAATAACAAACTAGCACAAAGTCCTCCTGATGGTATGTGGATGCTTTGGCCACTGGATATACCCTTGTGTGGCTCTTGTTCTGGTGATACACCATGCAAAACCCTTCAGCATTATCCTATTTTTTTCACGTTGATATTCTGTAGGAGTGTAATTTTTCCCAGTCGAGTCAAGCTATTTGTAGTGTAGCCACATACACTGCAGCATAACTTTATCTTGTACGAAGAGAATTATGTATATTATAAAATGCACAATGAATAAAATGGAGAGAAGAATATGTGTGTTCTGTGTATACTGTGTAAAGTAAAAAAAAAAACTGTTATAAATGTGTTATGATTTGTTTTGGACTTTAAATATTATGATCTTCTGACACACAATGTATTAAAAATAAAAAAACTTTAAATAACGTATAACAAGAATGACTTGTTACGCTAATGACTTCTTAGCCATATACGTGTTTTATCGCTATTGCAAGAACGTAATGATACTTACATGTATTTTCATCATATCTACCTAGTTAAAGTAATTTATGTATCTACATATTATATTATTGTGTGAAAAATTGAGACTGCAACGTTGTTAGGTGGATTTTTAATTATTAAAATTAAAATGAGACCGGTTTGATAGCAAGCATGTTGTGTATGACATCGTTAGCCCCGTAAATGTCCATTGCTAATGCTGAAAAAGAGCCACCCTCACTATGGGAAATTAACTGTAATCTTGACGCTTGCCGGGCGAATTTGAGGTCTCCGTATCAACGCAAACCTTTGACTCTGCTCCTTATTGCCGATCTGGATATTTTAATTCTGGTGAACGATATGAGATGGTTATCCTAAAATCTATTGGATGTCTATTAGGTGTTTATGAGATATCTTTACTGACTGTTCTAATATGAGAATCTTACAACACCTGTAGGTTTAGATAAGGTGACTTGTGATGGTTTTGGTTTAGTGATTTATTGTTTTTTCGTGATTAGTGTATATATGAAGAGGAATAAAATGATGGATGCGAACTGTATACCAAAAGGCACGTGTAAAAGCACGCGACAGCTACAGGCATACAAATAATCCAATCTTTCAGTCTAGTGGTTAGTGACCCTGACTGCTATGCCGGAGGTCGTGGGTTCGATTCCCACCCAGGACAAATGTTTGTGTGATGAGCACGATCATTTGTTCTGTGTCTGGGTGTAATTTATCTATAATATTTATGTATTTAGAAATATATAAGTATGTTTATCAGTTGTCTAGTACCCATAACACAAGCTCTGCTTAGCTTGGGACTAGATGGCGTTGTGTGATAGTTGTGGAATATTATTATTATTATTATTATTATTATTATTTCACCTAAATTTGAAAAGCCGTGGTAGCTTAGATGATTAGCGCTCGCTGTAAATTTCACAGTACGCGAGCAACCCGCGTTCGATCCCCGGCGGCACCAATGAAGTCTTTAATTGAAATTTTAAGTGGTGATTTACCATGTGCTCGGCGGTGAAAGAAAACATCGTGAGGAAACCTGCATGTCTGAAAAATAAGAAAAAATATATTTCGAAGGCATGTGAAGTTCGCCAACACTCATTAGGGCAGTGCAGCGGACACTTCCTTGTCCTAAAACCCTTTCAGAAATTAGGGAAGGCCTGTGCCCAGCAGTTGGACGTATATAGGCTGTAACTTTAGCCTAAATACTATTTCTGTTCCTTTTCTGCCTGGATTCACCCGTTGTGTAAACTTAAACGTGCTACATAAGTAGTCAGTAACGTGGTACTGGCTTGTGTATTGTTTATACTTTTTACGATTACAGACATCGCGTGAAGCAAATTGTATGCAATTTAATTAGCAAATGTAATGTAATTCCTACCTATCGATATTTGTGATGAGACACAAGTGAGAAGTACCATTTACCAGTAAAGCAATAAGACTTAGTAGTTTTTTATCAGCGTGTAAAAGTCCTCTCCTAGACAAAACTTCTCTCAAAGATATCGAGTTTTGTCTATAATCACTACGCCTAGCAGGTGTCTCAAGCCTTTGCCGCTGATCTCTATCACCGAAATGGATAATTTCCTTGGGCGTATTGTTGGTAATAACGCCATCTGTCGAAATCCATGAGATCTTTTTGGCATCTCCCATAGTAGCTTCTTAAAACACCAATGAGTCCAAATGGGGGTGATGGATTCTCTCTCTTCTTCTCCGGCCATTAATACTTATATACAACCATGTGACCTACATGTCCTCATACAGTACATATTTCAAAATGAATAATGTTTAAAGCCGATTACTCACGGCGCGTGATATAATAAGTCGCGCCTCGCCCGCTCCGCTCTGTGTAAACGACGTGCCGTGACCTCACTCGTGGCGATTCAAGCTCGTGCGGGGTGACACACCATCTGATCTCTAACTATACGCCTGCCAATACGAGGCTGCCACTCGAGAACTTTTTTTCCCTATTGCTTGTTAATCGAAAACTATAAAAATGAATTATATCAATGCTAAATCACGTGACGACGTTTAGATAATGTCATTTTGCGCTAACGATCATATAGCGATCGATCCAATGGCCTACGTCAGTTACCCTAGTTCTTCTGGGATATCCTCGTAACTGAATTTACCCCGCAAAAAAATTTTTTCTCCTCATCGTCGAATTCCTCCAATCGACTAATCATGCCGTCGATTGCCGAGTGACTGAGCTTCCTCATACGGCCAGCAGAAAAAGACAACGATCGTTCGTTTCGTAAATCATCGCTACTCAGCACTACACTAGCTACTGAGACATGTAAATGTCCTCGTGATGTTGTCCTTCACCGCCGAACATAATTTTACGATTAATAATGATTTCAATTGCGTCGTCAGGAATTGAACTTTGCATAGGCACTATGGAATTTAAAGAAAATATCGAGCCTTCTGAGCTGCCGCTCCTTGTTTATTACTAGTTCTAAGAAAATAACTCCCAAATTTTATTTTCAGTTTATATACTGCTTCAGAAATCAATTGGAATCACGCAAATCAGCCAAGGCTCTTCATATGGGACTGAGAAGAAATAACTTAACTGATGAAATTTTCCATCGATCACTAATAAAAAACTAGATACATAATCAGTGACAAAAATGTCCTTACCGAATAAGCGCCCCCTCGAATATTTGGGTGCGCTTTTAATTTGTACGTAGCTTTGTGAATAAAACTTTATGCAATACATTTAAGGTTGAACTTTTACATTAATGTATATTTATTTCAACTAGGATTACGTCAAAACAATTAGCGACAGTTTTTAGAGAACTTTTGCATGGGATTGTAGCGTATCTATTTTTTTATTAGTGATCGATGCAATTTTCTGATAATACCGTTGCTTTATAAAGTATTAAAATCATATGATATGACTATCTAAGAATTATAGTTTTTATTATATACAACACTATTTTTAAATTATCAGAAAAACATAAAGGAAAGAAAATATTATATTTTAAAAATACCAAATTTAAAATTAAATAATTTTCTAAATTGGGTTCCCTATATCAAGCGCATACGGTCAAATTTCACTGACAATACGTGGAATGGTTGTAGAGCTCAAGTGTAGTGATGATATTCTAGTAAACTTTTATAGTTTTTTTGTTCTTTGTACATTTTAATCGAATATTTAAAAAGATAGAAACTAATAACTTCGTCAAATTAAATTTTTGCGTTCACATATTAAGCGATAGGTAAACGGTACTGTATAAACCTTTAATTCTTTCTGATAACTAAAATTTAGTGGTGTATACATATAAGTATTGGTATTATTAGTACAGGTACTTTTGTCTACAGTTTGTATTTGGTTTTATATTGGGTTATTTTTAAATAAACAAATAATTGAAAATGTCACTAAGGTGTGTGATATTTTTTATAACTATACATGTATGTATATCAAAATGATGTATTTGATATGGATATGTTGATTTTTTTATTATTGATCGATGTTTTTGATAAATCCTATACTTGACTAACTTTTGAAAATAATTTCAAAGATATTAATATATAGAGCAATCAAACAGTAAGCAATTTTACTTAGCCATCTACATTATTCAGTTATTTTATATTTTTATTATATAACATAATATACATAACATAACATACATGTTTAATATATAATAATAATATGTTACACAATCATGTATTTTTTATAAAATCACATTTTGTTTTTAATTAAAGAAATTTTACATCAACTTGAACTTGTAACAATAATTTGCATTGCTGTAAAGCTTAGTGTTCATAAGCAAGCTATGTTTATGAATACTCTAGCCTGTAAAGGCATTATAAATGCTATTTTGTATTTTCATATTAGAATATTTCCGTATCACTTGTTTCTGATGCCAACGTATTGATATTGTTTTTTTTTTTTTCAAATCCTATAATTTTTACTAGAGAATACAATTGTCAAATAGGACTTGGTGAGAAAGTGTTTTTAAAAACAAATAATAGAAAACAAGGAAAATAACAGACTCGTTTCGAGGGACAGTGCATAAAAAATATATTTGTTATGATTATTTGTGATTTTAAAATTGAGACCTATATGAATAAAATGTAAGTACTCTTAATTTTTTCATTAATTTGGTTAAAAACTAAAACACATCCACAGTAAGAGATTCTTGTCTGACAGAACTCTAAAATTTATCTATATCATATAAATTTATCAAGTAACACTTGGACCTCACAGCGCACGCATGTAACACGTTACATTTTTTTTTTCTATTTTGTATAGTTACATATACATACAAGTACATAGATTAACTATTTTATGTTTTAGGGGTAGTTATTTGTGATAACATTTTTTGAATATTAAACATTGTTTTTATATGGTTTTGTTTATTTATTTTAATTTATTTAAAGTAAAGAAAGCACAAAAAAGTAATATTGTGTTAGTTCTTACATTAAATAAAATAGTATTCTGTGTTTTTTTTTTGTTACTTCTTAGTGTGATACTAGACTAGTGTCTTTGTTGAAACAATCATAGCTAACATTACTAGTGTCTTGTAAATAAAACTTCAAATGTAAAATAAACATAATGTGTTTATGCGTATTATTTTATATATCGTAATATATTTCCCGAATTTTCATAATTACTCTTTTTACTTGTTAGAGAAACATACCTATTTTAACAAAACTAACTGGTGTCGCTAAAAATAATAGTGTCGAATCTACCATACAAATAATAACCCATAATTTTGTATTATATAAATTTATCTTTAAATACATACACATAATGTGTATAGCAACGTGTAATTTTGACAAGAATGTAACTGTTTATAGTATCATAATGAATACGATCATGGTGGAAACTCGTTATTTCAAATAATTAGGCATATAGACAGGAACTATTTAATAGAAGTCTAAATTACCAGCATATAGGTACAGCTTGATCACAAGGGGGTGCCTCGCCCTGGGCAGCTGAGCGGCGTTACTTGGGGCCATTATCTCATTTGTTCGAAATACCTTTTCATACTTTCATTTCGTTTCAATAACGCTCACTGAGAAATAACAACTTGTTTATATAATTTATTTTTGATAACACGATTTATTTTATCTAAAATTTAGAAACGATGCCAACATTTGATTTACTTATTGTTCAACTGAGATATGTTTTTATACTGATCGAATATTAAATAATATAATTTTATTTGATTTAAAAAGATAGAAAACAGTCATTTAGGTATTGAGATAAAAAATATAAACAACGAGTAATTTTAAATAGGTGCAACGAAGAGCAAAGTAAGGGGTTTTGGGTTACTGGTAACAACAACGCGACAGAATAAGAAATTTAGGGCATTTCTTAGTCGCCAATCACTGGGTTAGATTAGGTTAAATCTCTTAAAACAAGAAAAGAAGTACGAGTAAATGATCGAAGTTTGAATCTTTAATAATCCCTCAAACTAGAGTGAGAGCATCAATATGCTAGTAAATTAAATGATTTAATTGTTACAACGGATATTACAGAAAGATACAGATTACATTTGCAATTCAAACATTACTTACTCCCACAGCCATGTCAATAAGTCTGTCACTACGCTTTTCGTACCCATGGCATGGCACAACTCTTATGATCAAGCGATACTAATTATACAGTGTCATTATACTATAAACAAAGATCAATTTGAGTTTTGGGTGGATTTTCCGCTTTGTCATTTTTCAGAGCCTCGTCCGTCAGGTAACTCCCGTGTAGGTAAATTTGGCACTCGGAGAATGCTTACCATACCATATCCTACGAAAGAAATTAGCAATTGTTTCCTGTGATTCTATAAAAAATATTGTTATTTTTTAAATATATTCAAAGCAATATTGGTATTTAAAGTAAAACCAATGTCTAAATTTATTGAAAAATGTACGGCGGATGCCGGACTAATTACTTTTTTATACAAAACTGAAAAAAATGTGCAGACGTCCATCCGCTTGCGGTCATTTTGTCAAGTTAGAATTTCTCGTTTATTTTGTTTCTTTTTTAAATATTAATGATTGTTAGAAATTCGTACCATTACCACAGTATTATTGAAACCAATCCCTTGGCAAACTAAATCATAAATACTAGCGGAAATAGAGGTGAGATTTGTACTATAAAAAAATGTTACATAATGTATAAAATAAAAATTTGACACAAAATTGTATTTTAATTTTCACCAACTTTACATCTATAACAACATTAGATACAATTCAGCCTGCAGGTCCGCCCTTTAGGTTCGAATACGCATTTCTAATTTCTTAAACCCTTGCAAAAAGCTCCAAACACGAGCATGTCTTGGTCTGAACACAAATTATCACTCGCGACCGCAGTTGCATCTTATATACACATAAGGTGCAACTGTGGTCGCGACTCGGTCCTTGCGGCACTAGACGTGACTCGGATATTTCGCAAAGAATCATCCGTGGAATAGCGGCTACTTCATAATATGGTCAAACATAAGTGATCATATCGTAAAATAGTTCCCATAGAAAAATATTATGAAATACTAACAGAAATCTACAAAACCGTCGATATGGTGGCCGATTGAAAATGATACAAATGCTCCCGACGGAGAATATAAATGGCTCATGAACTATCAAGACCACGCGACAAAGTTCGGCCTTTAAAAACCTAACGTAACCTACCATAACCTGGCTAACTAACCATAAGCAATTTTTTGTACTTACAAGAAAAATATACAAGTTCCTTCTTTATTTGGAATTTATGTTAAACCTTTGATATTATGGAAACCCTACATTAATTATATGCTAAAACGTGGATTGACATATTATCATCAAACGTTAACGTTTAAACGATATGGTCAGTTTTAGCTGGCCATTTCGTGAAATACAACCATTTTATTAAATGGTCGGCCGCATCATGAAGTGTTAAATTCCAAGATCTGGCCACTATATTCGGATCACCATGTGTCATAACAAAATATATAATGGGTATGTTCCGATATACACTGCGAGCACTGCTCAGTGCTCTCACTGGTGAAAATTTCGTATCGTTATGGACTGCCAGTATACTGACGGAGTACATTAGGGAAATATATGACGTCACAAATCGCCGCCATTTTTGTAGTGTGAGCATTGGCGCTTTCGATGTAAGGTGCTCTCAGTCTCAGTGCTTTGATCACGTGATCAAAAACATGACAGCGTCTAGAGACTTAACAGTTTCTACGAATAATTGTTATTATTAATTAATATTGTTATTTTTTTTTAAAAAAATGTATTCTAATAAACTTGGACATTAAGTGTTTAAAGCAACAACATTCAAATAATAATTTTTCTTGTTGAAAAGAAAACTTGTACATGGTAAATATTTTAATTTGAAAACAGATATAATATATCTGTTTTCAAATATATTATATTATTATAGAGTAATCTATGGAAAACAGTGTCGTAAAATGGGGATGAAAGTATACTGGACTGCGTTTCGCAGTATAGCAAACTAAAAAGGAACGGCTTCACAGTATACTGAATTGACGTCACACTTTACAATGACCACAGCGTATATCGGAACACACCCAATATAACCTGACTTAAAATATACAGTACGCCGGTCTTGTATACATAGAGGTGAGTGACACCAGTATATTCTGAACTTATATTATGCAACGACAAACTTTTTAATTTTGACAACGTAAACATGTGAGTGTTTTATCATTTCACCATGCGGTGGCGTTACTAAAGCGATATAATGACGTCACTGTTGTTTGATTGAATTTACATTTTAGAAAAACCATTTTTACCTTATTCATTATTGTTAGTTAAACTTAATTTTAAACACATATTTTTAATTGTAAAATTACATGCAAAATCTATTGTTAATTTTTCTTAATAATTTTTAGTAAACTTTCAAAAAATAAATAAAATTAAAAAACATGTAACTTCTCTATTGATTAAGATATCGCGTAACATACATATAACAAGAAACAAAAGTTGAATTGATAACCTCCTCCTTTTTTTACTTCGGCTAATACGATTGAACAATTATTTTTCAAATGAAAAATATTAGTAATGCATATACGTATACCTTGTGGATAGACTTATCTTATTTAGTAGTTTAGTACCTATTTAAACTACATTAAAACATAATTTAACATTCGGATTGATGACACTAATTTTGCAAATATAAGCTAGGACTTGAGTGATTTTTTTACATAACTATTCATTGAAGCAAGTGCATTGGCTGCTTAGCAATTGAAAAAAGTTTGGTTCATATTCCTTGGCAGGCTATAGTAATCCACTCAGTAAAATTAATAATGTATTCAAAAAGTATTAAAACAACATACACAACAAATAAAATTTATTACTACATAAAAATTTAGATTTACATAACACCTTATGGAATATCCATCTTACTTAATCTTAATATAAAATCAAGTAGGTACATCTGTACTTTGACCTCAATTGGTTTATTCGTCACAAAGAATCCTGGAACTCCAGCCTTTTCCAAGGTATCTTGTTGATCACTTACCTGAAAAGAAAAAACTTACAGCATTTATAATTTTTAAATTACGGAGCACCAACGTTCATGGGCATGGAACACTAGCATGCACCTTTACTAGAGAGCAAGTATATGTATAGTCGCACCGCGGTAATGGTACATGTTACTATTATGCTATGATTTTGATGTTTCGGTCTAAGAAAGATCTTTAAGATTTTTAGCTTAAAGCTATTTAAATCCATGACACAAGTAAATATTCTAGAAGATCACTAAAGTATGTTTGCAACTCCTATCGGGAACACTAAAACTGCCTTCCAGGAGTTAAGAACGATAAGAGAGTAAGAGTAACGAATAGGACACATAGGAACTATTGCCAACTCAAAATTGGCTCACTTGACTTACGAATTTCCAGTCCAGGGACGATAGTGCTTACTGCACCAGTCTGCAGTACCCGGACGTCCGCACGGAGCATAGAGCATTGTGAGAAGATTAGTAGTATTTTCCCTGTCATCAAGTTAAATGCTAAAAGAGGTCTAGACAGATTTACACGTGGTAAAGCCGCGCTGCAACTATGTTATATTTGTAACACAAATGTGATCGGCTCGACCGGGGAAGAACCACACCCTAACAGAATACCAGCTTAATGCTGCTGTATTCCGTTTGATAAGTGTAGAGAACCTAACGTTCTTTTTACTGGAAATGAGGCATTACATAAGTCCTCCGAGGTGAAAATGCATCTAATTTTGATCCGTAATTCATAAGATAGATTAAGATTTCAATGGGTCATAGCATCTACTTACTACGAGGGCTGCACTAAAAGTATCGGGAATAGAATATTTTCACTGTTCCTGTCATATTAAAATCTTTTTAATTGAAAACTCCTTGGTTTTAAAATTCGAATACCATTGATTTATTTAAAAAAAAAGATTCTTAGGTTTTATCAAACTTGTTTAGTCCTATATATTTATCTATGGTTTAGTCGTTGAGAAAATGGAATTGACTCGAGAAAATTCAAGAGCGATGATTTATTATGACTTTCGGAGTGGTTTAACACAAAAACAGTGTGTTGACCGGATGATTTCTGCATTTGGTGATGAAGCCACATCCAAAACCACAATTTATCGCTGGTTTGCTGAATTTCAACGTGGACGTGTCAAGCTCAGTGATGATCCCCGTCAAGGTCGTCCAAAAACTGCAGTCACCCAAGAAAACGTTGATGCTGTGCGTAAGCTGATTAAGGAAGATCAACATGTGACATACCGCGAAATTCAGGCAACTTTAGACATTGGCATGAGTCAAATACAAATAATCTTGCATGAACAATTAGGTGTAAAAAAGTTGTTTTCCCGATGGATACCGCATTCGCTCTGTGAAGAGCAAAAAGCGGCTCGCGTTACTTGGTGCGTCAGAACTCTCGAAAGATTTCACGCAGGATCCTCAAATGCTGTATACAACATCGTATCAGGTGACGAATCCTGGATATACGTGTACGAACCCGAAACAAAAAACCAGTCACGAGTTTGGGTGTTCGAAAATGAGTTAAAGTCAACAAAAATTATTCGTTCACGGTGTTGCAAAAAAATGGTGGCCACGTTTGTCTCCAAAACCGGCCATGTTACGACTATTCTTCTTGAGGGACAAAGACCGGTTAATGCAGAATGGTATGCTAGCATTTGTTTGCCACAGGTCGTTTCTGAACTCCGTAAAGAGAACTGCAACCGCCGCATCATCCTCCATCACGACAATGCGAGTTCTCATACCGCACACAGAACAAAAGAGTTTTTAGAGCAAGAAAACATAGAATTATTAGACCATCCGCCGTACAGCCCCGACCTAAGCCCTAATGATTTCTATACTTTCCCTAAAATAAAAAATAAATTGCGTGGACAGAGATTTTCATCACGTGAAGAAGCTGTGGACGCCTACAAAACGGCCATTTTGGAGACCCCAACTTCCGAATGGAATGGTTGCTTCAATGATTGGTTCCATCGTATGGAAAAATGTGTCAATTTTCGCGGAGAATACTTCGAAAAGCAATAAATACATTTTTAAATAGTAATGTTGTGTCACTTCCTTGATTCCCGAAAGGACAATGTAAGCTCGCCTAAGAACCAACATATATTTGACTATTACCAAAATTCTTATTCTTAATTATGCATTAGATAGTAACGGACACTTCTGACTTGTGAAATCAAAATAAAAAGGACTTTTTCGATTTTGAACTTTGTACCTATTTTTTAATACACAAAAATATTTTTTAAATACAAAAAAACAAGTCAAAAACGTTGACAGATGACAACAAGTCCAAATAGATAGGTAGACGCTAGACGCACAGAGTACTTTTTATGTAGACGTCAGACGTGCTATTGTTTTGGTTTCGTTTGAAAAAATACATTTCTGTAAATGTTTTAGGAATCTAAGTGCACTCTGTAGTTGCTTTGTTATTCGATAAGTTTATATAAATTAAGAACAACGGCTTGAACAACGGATACGATGTTTCATAAACATAAAACATAGCCTCAAAATCTCTATGATAACTGCAAATATCTAAGTTTTCAGAAGTGTCCGTCAGGAGTTATTGTTCTTACATACAATTATGTGTAATTTCGGACTTAAAAAGGTATTTTTTTCACTGTTGGTTCTTAGGCGAACATTGTATGGACGCAAAACATTCTCCTTTCAGTGCCGCCCTCGTATAAGGCGAACTGTGTGCTCATTTGTCACACTTATTCTTAAAATTTGTTTTAACTTTTATAATGGAGCAGCGAGTTGTCCTCTATGTGCAGAGATGAAAATAACGGTTGACAGAAGTTTTCTTCGACAGCCTCGACGAGAAACCAGAATGCACGAGTTCTCCAAGCGAACTAGTACTAGAACTGACTTCGCTATTATACTTTTATTTATAACCAGTTTTTGTCGTGATGCTATTCACAAGAGCGGTATAAGACCATAGATAAATATATATGTAGCAAGTATAAGACTAGCCAATTGTATCAGATCATACCCTCGCATAATCAGTCTTACATTTAGAAAGATGGGTGTTATGGAACGTTACTTAAGATGGGATTTGCTCTAGCACAGAATCTGTACCAATTTCGATGTGGTCGAGGAGTTGGTATCTGTCGCTGTGGTATCTATTAAAACATCCATAGATAGGGTTTTTTTTATAGGATTAGGGTGACAAACGAACACACAATCCACCAGATGGTAGGTGGTTGCTGTGGCCCATAGACATCTACATTTACCCACGATTAAGTATCAAAATGTAGATGCGTTGTTTGGTTTGCTTAAGGCGCAGGTTGAGCAAAATGTCGCGCTAGTCGTTATTTGTGCTGTTTTTAGGAGCTATCTACTTTTTATTTAAAAGATATATCTACAAATAAAAAACACATTATATTTTTACATAATCTTGATTCCATAAAAGCTATATCCAATTTTTTTTTAAAGGAATAAATATTAATATAATGTCCTTACAACGAAATCACATAAATGTGAAATTATTATTGATAACATGCATCTCCTCGTAAAGTAAGTATTATTTTATTTTGCGATTTACACCAATGGATAGGCAATTTATTAATGAACATTTCTATAGTAAATTTTTTTTCAAAAGACCAAAATTTGATTTTATTAAGAAATTATTTTAAAATCTGGGCATATTCACTGCTCACGGGCTTGCTGAAGTCAGTGAGCCCTGAGCTCTTACACGTGGAACCCGTGTCGTTAGAGCGTCTGCCAGCGCACACGCGCATAATATTATAATATTATTACTTATTAGGTTATTTATAGGTAGTATTAATTGTTTGTTTTGGGTATAATTTTTCGTATTACTTATACATATATTTGTTGTGTTTTTTACTGCGCGATGAAGCTTTTTGCGTGTATTTTCTTTGAAGTAAATGCAAATAAAATAATGAAGCACCATTAGCATGTAAGGTTCGAATCCATAATTAAAATTTCGACAAATATTATAATTTACACTATAAAAGGCTAATTCAATATTATCACCTAACCACAATATCTTATTAAGTATAGTACTGTCTCGTTGGTCTAGTGGTTGTAGTAGTGCGACTGCTGATCATAAGGTCCCGGGTTCGAATCCTGGGTCGGGCCAAAAAGTCAGTTATGAGTTTTTCATTTATGTTCTAAGTTATAATTAGTATTACTAAGTTATAGTTTTTTGCTAAAATATAGTATATTATTTATTGCTTGTTTTTATTCGATATAGAGGTAATTATTAAATGCAACATATTTTTTTAAATTATTAATTACATTTGTCAGTGGATTAAATTTGCTTTAATAAAGTTGGTGATGATTTTAAATAAGAATAAAATTCTGCTCAAGTTTTTTTTATTGTTATGTTTGTTAACAACATCGCCTTTAGAACACTGAAACCGTAAGTGTTTCTTTCAGACGTCCACAATTTATTCAAAATAAAAAAATACTCTTTCTACCGGAGCATTCGTACCAGGTAGACATAAAATATATTCGATTAAAAAAAATTATGTTGAATATTGTTGACTTTGAATACTTCCATCCAACGAGTTACGGGACAATTTTGTGTCCCGGAGCTTTGTTTGGGGACAATGGGACAGGTGACCGAGAAAAGGGACAGTTCCGTTCAAAACGGGACGTATGGTCACTTTAGAAAATTACCGCTTTTACAACAAAATTCCAGAAAATATACAAAGTTTGACCTGCTCAAAGTTCAAAAACTTTATTAAACTAAGTTTGTATAAAAAGAGTTATTATAATATTAAGGAATTTATGGATGATAATAACCCCTGGAAATGAGGTGATCGCTACCAAGCTATTTCTAATTTGTTGTGTTGTTAATTTGTGTAACATCATGATTGTAAGCTGTTATTTACAAAAAAGTCCCGCTGGGTTTCTTGCTGGTTCTTCCCAGGACAGAGGTTTTTTCCGAACCAGTGGTAATCAAACAAAAGAGTTACTTTCAATAAGTATTATTTATAATCTATATTGAATAAAAAAGTTTCTGTTTGTTTCTATAGTGAGTAGGTATCTTT